CTTCATGGTGTCAGACAACACCTCTGGCTCCTCTTGGGCCATTCATTGCACCCCCAGGGACTCAGGAGAGCTCAAAGACACACTAAAGAGTGCAGAATGTCAGAATTGTACAAAGAACATATAGGGTATGTTCCACTTTGTGGGAGCTGGTGGGAGCCCCTGGCTTGAGTTAGGATGAGAGACTAAAGATTGAGTGCTGAGTGGAAAAGTTTTACAGCCAAGCAGAGAAACAATTCCAGTACAGAATCTAGGCTCAGCATTGGGGGAGGGGGAGAAATGGAGTAGGTAATGATTTATCTGTGTTCTGTATTCAAAAAGCAAAGTTTCTGAGTGTTGCTGATTGACTGGGGGTATTGGGTTGGCTGGAAGTGGTCAGCTATGTACCTGGAAAATCTGCTTCAAGATTATGGTATCTAGGAGCCTCTCTGTGTACCTGATATGCCTGAATCAAGATCTGGGTGCCCAGTCAGGTCTGCACTGATTGACTAGTTCTCTCTAGTCATCTAGATGGCCAGTTTGGGGTTTATCATTGCCTTCAATTCTTTACCTATGAACGGGTGTAGGGACGCCCAGGTCCTCACACTCTGAGTCCAATCCAGTCAACAACTTTTTGCTAAATGCAACTGTTGATCTGAAACCCATATCCATAGCACCAGAGCTAGTCTCCTTCCTGTCGCTCATCCTCATCTGCTGTGTTATATTCTCCCTCTACTCATACCCCACTGTGTCTGCCCAAGTTCAGGCCAACATTATTGTTCACTCAAAGGCATTCACTTCCTCCAAACTTATCACCTCCAGCTCATGGTCTGTGTCTAAAATATTACTCTTGGTGCACCTGGCTCAGTGCCTGTGTGTCTAAAATATTTCTCTTGGTACACCTGGTGGCTCAGTCATTAAGCATCTGCCTTCGGCTCAGGTCATGATCCCAGGGTCCTGGGATCGAGCCCTGCATCGGCAGGGAGCCTGCTTCTCCCTCTCCCACCCCCCCTGCTTGTGTTCCCTCTCTCACTGTCTTTCTCTCTGTCAAATAAATAAATAAAATCTTAAAATAAATAAATAAATAAAATGTTACTCTTGGGGTGCCTGGGTGGCTCAGTCGGTTAAGCATCTGCCTTCAGCTCGGGTCATGATCCCAGGGTCCTGGGATCGAGCCCTGCCTCGAGCTCCCTGCTCAGTTGGGAGCCTGCTTCTCTCTCTGCCTGCTACTCCCCTTGCTTGTGCTCTCTCTCTCTCTGATAAATAAAGAAATAAAATCTTAAAAAAATAAAATTAAATAAATAAAATAATAAAATGTTACTCTTCTTCTGAAAACTTTTGACTCCCCTTGGCCGTTGGGACAAAGCCTTAAGGTTTGTACACCTAGGCAGTTGTACAAAACCACAGTCAGACTTCCAGTTCAGCTCAGCCTGGGCTTGTAGTGAGAGTGGTGCTAGGCCAAGAGGATTCTCCAGAAGCCTGGATGCCTTTGAACTTGAGTTTCTGGTTCTTGGGTGAATAGAATGGATATTCCCATATGAACTAGAAATGCCTCCCTGGGGCTCTGTTCTTTGAAAGAAATCAAGGGTGATCGTGAAGATTTTCTTTCATCATCAACCCAAATCACCCCCTCTGAAACCTTTGGTCAGTTCTGCTCATCCCCGCCCCCACCGTGCCACCATCTTCAGGTGGTTATGGAAGGCCCCCAAGGGCCCCTCTCCTGCTGGGTAAAATGAGTACCCAAGTGCCTGCCTGACTGTTAACTGGGGCCAGTTCTAGGGAAAGGAGAGTTGGAATGACACACACTCATTTTACTGTGTACGTGTCTATAATGTGGGAATGTTTTTACAAGCATGTATCACGCCTGTAATTAAAGATGCAAATCTAGTAAAAAGCTCCATCCCTTAGGCCATAGGTTCAGAGGGCAGAGGGTAACAAGGAAGACTTGATAGGTGACACAGCACTGGAGCTGGGCCAGGAGGTCAGCAGCAACAAGGGGATATCTGGACCAGATAAAAGCAAGATCCAGGGTGAGCGGAGAGTTAGTACTGTAGTGGGTAGGGCTTTGAATGCCAGACCCAGGAGTTTGTAATTAAGGCATCTCTGAGCCAGAGGGATGTAATCTGAGCTAGGCCTTGGGGTTGGAGCTGGCAAAGGTGGGAGAAAGACCAGGGCTGCCAGGAGACTGTTTGTACATCCCAATGAGAGGAGCAATAATCAGGGGAAAGAGGCATGTGAATGAATGAGCTGGGCTGGCCAGGACCTTGATACTTAGGACAGGGCCCACCCTCTGCCTGTACTGAAAATCCTCCCATAGCCTCACTGGGCCCTGGTAGCTCTGTGTCTGAGGTTCCTGGTCCACCTGGAGCTGGAGACAGGGTAACATCCCAGCATGGCTCTTTTTCCGTTCCACTTTCCCACCTTGACCTAGGAAGGAGATGGTGCCCACTGGACCTCTTGGGGCCTCTAGTTCTTTCTGACTTCATAGAAGAACTGCAGAGCAACTGTTTGGTTTTGGGTCACCTAGTGATTCTCCTGCATATCACATTTTTCTGGGTCCTGGAGGAAAAGCTAGCTGGTACACCACAAAATAAGAGATGACGATGTGCCAACCTCAGCCAGATGATGCTTCTCATACTTCAGGGCCACCTGCAAGAGGCAGGATGGGTACTTCAGCAACGCTGGGGGCTCCAAAGGATCCCAGAGAGACCAAGACACCTTGACAGACTAGGTATGACACCAAGGAGGGGAGACCAGAATGCCCCACCCAGTACACCTCCTAGCCCTACCTCCTGCCCCATCAGAGGCTACTGGGGACAGTCGTGCCTAAGGGGCCATCGAAGGTCACCTGGAAACTTATCATAGGAAAGGACTGGGTTTGAGGTAGATTCTCCAAGATCAGAAAAGCATTCTCTCCTTCCTTGTTATGGTACCTCCATCGTCATGACCAGGTGCTGAGGACTCAAAGATGAACGAAAAGCCAACAAATCCTGAAGAGAGGGAGCATCTTCTGTCTCTGATTCCTTTCAGTGGCTTAGTGGAAGAGATCAAGTCCACACTGTACCCTGAAAGGGCCCAGAAACTTCAGAGTATGGTACACACAAAGGCAAGGAAATTTTCTTCTTCTACCACAGGCGGTTTCAAATTCAGAGCTCTGGGGCCTACTGTTCCTTCCACCTGGATGCTCTTCCTCACCTGGCCCCACTGTCAGCTGAGGAACTCCAGTTCTTTCTTGCAGGTATCATCTTTTCTGTGAAGGTTTCCTTGACTGCTCTGCTAGCACACTCCCCTCCACCATTATTTCTGTATCTTGTACTTGTACCCATCACTGCACATTACACCCTCCTCTGTTTTGCTTTATTTATGTGTCTGGAGTGATGTCATATGAAGCTTCCTCTGCTCTGTGTCCCCAGGGGGTAGCCTAGTGTCTGCCCCATTGAGCTCATTAATCACTGGTGCAACAGAGCCATGATGAACAGTCCCAGATTACCCAAGCCAATTCAAGTCCACTTTAAGATGCTTTAACCCCCCTCACCAGCCCACCCTTAGCCTCCAGGAACCTGCCCAAGGTTGGAGCCTGATGTTGGCTATTCCTGGAGGTGTCTCTCTTGAAAGGGTCCTCAAACTAGGAGCCAGTAGAAGTCCCCCAAGTTCTTGCTGAACTTGGGACTCAGGCCAAAGCAGAGTGGGGAAGGCTGGGAGCTTTGGTGATCCCCTTGCTGTTCTGGAAACTGACCCTTGGACAACAACAATATGGTGATGACTGACAACCCACATGCAATAAAGAGCATGGGTTGTGGCCCAAATATGTTGTCTCCCGAGGGTGTCCTGCCAACCTCATCTGGAGATGGCCAGGTGGGGACTCAGGACCCAGGTATGTCCTCCAGCTTGGGCCATGGGCAGGTCATGTGAGACCAGCCAAGCAGGTAGGAAACCCATAGCCACCCTCATGAAGCAAGGACCTCAGAGTCCTCAGTCTACCTCTTCCACCCTCTGGATAAGGACCTACTGCCCAGGCAGGCTGTGTAGCAAGGAGAAAGCCAGCCCCTGTCAGAAGGGCCTTAGCAGTACCAGTTGTCCTCTTGGGTGCTTCACCCCTGGGCTTCTTGCTTCAGACTTTGCATTCCTCTAGGACAACAGTGCTTCCTGTCACCAGCCACTTGGCCAAGTCAGAGTCTTGCCCTACTTCTGTCAGGGCAGCTTTTCTGTGGACCCTCAGGCCTCAGAATTCTCTGGCTGTCTGATGGCTCATCACCCTCCCTACTCCCTCACCCCATCTTGAGTCAGCACCCAGTTGGCTGCTCAAGCACTGGCTCTGGTTTCTAAGAGGTCTCTGGGCAAATCTGCAGCTCAGCTTTAAACACGTCTGCATTTGGTCTCTTTGGTTCATTGATCAAGAATCATATGATCTTTTAAAAACACAGCTGGTAGAGTTGCCCATCTGTGCTTCTGCATTTGGATCAGTAAATCGGGCTGCCTAGAATTTATTTAAACCTGCAGGTCTGAGTGCAGAATGAGGCTGCCCTCACCATGCGTCCGGTGATAATGTTCTCATTTTCTGGATCATCTTCATTCTTGGGATGACCCTTGACTAGGTTTTAGGACTCGGTCTGTTTTTAATGCTCATTTGTTTCCTGAGTTCTTCTAAGGACTATTTTCTTTTTACATTAAGATTCACTAATTACAGGGTAAAACACTAATCTGCACTTCTCCCCCATGGCTGAAACACACACACACACCACAATTATTTACCAGACAAGATAGGTCACAAGTCCTTAGCTAGGTCAATAACCCAAGGTAGGGATGGTCTCTATGCTCTCCTCACCCACCCCCATCCTTTGAAATACACACAGGAACATTGCTAGTGTGGCGGAGACTGCCAACTGCCAACTGCCAACTGCCCCCCCAATATCTGAGCACATGACCATCAAAAATAAATACTAGGAGTGTCTGGCTGGCTCAGTTGCTAGAGCATGAGACTCTTGATCTTGGGGTCGTGAGTTTAAGCCCCAAGTTGGCCATAGAGCCTACTTAATAAATAAGTAAATAAATAAATATAGATAGATAGATAGCTATACAGATACTAAATTTCCTAGCCTCCTTTCCAGCTATGTGGCTAAGTTTTGATGAGATATAAGTATGATGGTGTATCTGACTTCTAGAAAGTATCCTTAAGGGAAAAGGCATGGCTTCTTCCTTTCTACCTTCTTCATGCTAGCTAAAGAGCACCTTTGGTGATGTGATAACTGGAGTTAGAGCAGCCATCTTGAAACATGAGAGTGAAGTCACACTTTGAGGACGGCAGATGCAGCAGCCCAACTTCCAAGGTGGCCTCCAGTGACTCTCAACTTCTGTATTCGTGTATTTGCTTAGTTTTGTTCCATATTAAATAGGGCTGACCTGTATAACCAATAGGATGTTGCAGAAATGGCAGTGTGACTTCTGAAGCTATATCATAAAAGACATTGCAGCTTCTGTCTTCCTTTTTTTTTTAATGATTTATTTATTTATTTGAGAGAGAGAGAGAAAGTATAAGCGGGGGTGGGGTGGGGAGGAGGGGGAGGGGCAAAGGGAGAGGGAGATAGAAACTTTAGCAAACTCTGTGGTCAGTGCTGAGTCTGACACAGGACTTGATCCCACAACCCCCAGATCACAACCTAAACTGAAACCAAGGGTTGGACGCTTAACCCACTGCACCACACAGGCACCCCTGTCTTACTTCTTTTTGAATCATTTGCTCTAGGCGTGTAGAAGCCAGCTGCCATGTTGTAAGCACACTCAAGCAACCCTATGGAGGATGACTGGTGGTGAGAAGCTAAAGGCTTATTGCCAACAGCTGGAACCAACCTGCAGTCCCAGTCAAGCTTTCAAATGACCAGAGCTCCATCTGATATCCTGACTGCAATCTCATGATTCTCAAGCCAGAAGCACCCCGCTAAGTTACTCCTGAATTCCTGATGCACAGAAAGTGTGAGATAATAAATGTTTATTGTTGTTTTAAGTCACTGACTTTTGAAGTGATTTGTTACGGAACAATAGAGGAGAGCAACAAAAGAGGAGCCTTAGCCTCTGAAATTGTGGAAGGCCATAGCAACCCTTGACCCTTGATCTACCTCAGACTTTTTTTTTTATGATTTTATTTATTTATTTGACAGAGATAGATACAGCAAGAGAGGGAACACAAGCAGGGGTGGTGGGAGAGGGAGAAGCAGGCTTCCCGTGGAGCAGGGAGCCCGATGCGGGGCTCGATCCCAGGACTCTGGGATCATGACCTGAGCCGAAGGCAGACGCTTAACGACTGAGCCACCCAGGCGCCCCTCAAACTTTTTTTTTTTTTTTTTTAAGATTTATTTGTTTGAGAGAGAGCGCATGCAATGGGAGGGGCAGAGGGAAAGGGAGACAAGCAGATTCCCTGCTGTGCAGGGAGCCCAATGCAGGGCTTGATCCCAGATCGCAGGACCTTGAGATCATGACCTGAGCCAAAACCAAGACCAAAACGCAGATGCTCATTCACTGAGCCACCTAGGTGCCCCTCAGACTTTTTTTTTTTTTTAAGAGAAATAAACTACTCTTATTTCCACAACTATTATTTTTAGCATTCTGCCTCTCCTATACCTACTCCTGTTTTGGCACCATTCATTTAGAAACTCTTCTTTTTTTTTTTTTAAGATTTTTTATTTATCCATTCATGGAAGAGAGAGAGAGAGAGAGAGGCAGAGGGAGAAGCAGGCTCCCAAGGAGCAGGGAGCCCGACGCGGGACTCGATCCCAGGACTCTGGGATCATGACCTGAGCCAAAGGCAGACACTTAACCATCTGAGCCACCCAGGTGCACATTTAGAAACTCTTCTAAGAATTGCTAGCTGGAAGTGCCTTTGGAGACCGTCTCAGTCATGCCTGCTGCCAGTGGTATGTTGAGGCCTAAATCTTCCTAAAATGATGGGTAGTTAATGTCTACAAATGTCTGTAAAAGGAATTTCTGTAAATGCCTGTAAAAGGAATTTCACAGAACCACAGGGAGATCCTGGCTCTACCCCACCTTGAGGGATCTCACTGAACATTTTGGTGACTCTACCTGGTACAGAGAGACACTGTCTTCATATGGGTGTTCCTGGGATGTCCATGAGGTTCAAAAGGATATGTAAATAAGCACTTTGGAGAGTGCCAAGCTGCTCTACCAACTGAAGATAGCACTCAGGCAGATTCTGGATGGAATGAGCCTACCTCAGCATTTACAGGTGTTCCTTTCATGGGCCAGCTTTCAGGTGTGCATCTCAGGTGGCCTAGTGAGCAAATCCTAAGCGGTGACGAGATGCCCTGCTCAGGTCCAGGCAGCCATGGCACAGGACTGAGGTATGGCAGTCCTGCTAGTCTTTTCTTTTTACTAAAGCACTCCTTCCTGGTGTCCTGGTTGTAAGGCCATAGCCAGCCCCCTGAGGCTTCCTCTCTATCCCATGTCCTGCTTCACCACAGACTATGACATCCAAGTGGACTAACCAACCAACACAATTCACGACCCCCAGCATCACAATTCCTGGATCTGCTTACTTGTCCTCACCTTCTCCCACTGGGCTCTTGCCACACAGTGGGATAGAGTCTCTCTGAAATCTTAGCCTCCCAAATTCTACCAGAGGCCTTGACCTCCTACTTGTTAGATTTTTCCAGTCCTCTCTCCACTCCTGCTCTTGGACTTTAACAAAAAGTCCCTGGAGGCCTCAATTGTTTCCCCAGCCTGGCCCCATTAGAACCATCTGAACAACCAAAAATCTTCTTAAGCCCTGTATTTATTACAGTAATGCTAGATGCTATAACAAACAAATCCCAAACTATATACTGGCTCAGACAATATAGTTGATTTCTTGCTCACATTAAACCCAAACAGGTGTTCCTGTTCAGTTGGTATCTCTCCTCTAAGTGGCGAGTCAGGGAGAAGGAACTTTCTACCTTATGGCTCTGCCACCTCCAACATGTGGTTTCTGAGAGGATCTCAATCTGGAGGCAAGAGAAAGAAAAGGTGGAGATTATATGTCTGCTGCTTAACTATCTTGGGCTGGAAATGACACGTCTTCCCTGATTGACATTCTATTGGCAAGAACAAGTCAATGGATTCCTCTCAGATACAACAGATGTGAGGGGAGGGGTGTTTATTGGGAAATGTAGTCTTTGCTGGGAAACCCCTTCCCACCCTCAATTCTATTCTATAGAAGGGCAGAGGATGATGGTTTTTTGGTAAACAGTTAGCTGTCTCTGCTCCACACCTCTTACTTCCTTCTGCCACAACCTTCTAGCAAGATCACAGCCCAGGCAGTATATCCAGCGTGCTTTCCTGGCTTCTAGGTCCTGTAGAAAATCCTAAGGGGGACAGATCTGTGCCAATGCAGATGTATCACCTCCAAAGCCAGTAGGGCCCCTGTGTTGCTAGGCCTGGGTCAGATTCTCTCCTATTTCCCATAAGGAGGCTTCCAAACACCCCCTCTTTGCCCTTATTCCTTCCTCCCACCCTCCTTCTCAGCAGGAGAGAATTTTGGGGCCAAAGGGTGCCTCCTCCACTTCTTCTCCTGCTCTCTCCTCCCTGCCACACTCTTATAAACCTGTCTGTGCCCACAGTCACTCCAGCTTCATAGCCCAAACTGTTCCCTAGGTTTTAGACCTATGTATCCACCTTCCCCTTGGATGCTTCCACCTGCATGCACATAGGTCTTTCATACTCACCATGTCTCAAACTGAGTCAACATCGTCCAGCCCCACCCACCCCCATCTGCTTCTCCTCCCGTGGTTCCTTTCTCCTATGATGGCGCCATCCTCCCTGCAGTCACCCTTGCTAAAAACCTGAGGGTCATTGTTGTCTTGTTTCTCAGGTTAAATCCTGGCCCAAACATTTCTTGAATCAGTTCCCTGTACTCCTTTCCTCAGGTCATCTCTTCTTGTTTGGATGCCTATAACCATCTCCTGATGGGTCCTTATGCCTCTAGTCTGTTTCCCTCCAACCTGTGCTCCATGGGCAGCCACAGTGACTGTTCTATGTCTGTACATATCTGACATAATGCCCCCCTTTCTTAAGCATGGAATTCCCTCTGAGGCCCCAAGTCCCCACATGACCCATGGCCCCACTGCCCACTTCAGCCAGCCCCTCACCTCCCTCAACACTCCAGCAACACCCGACTTTACTCTGTACACGTTCTGAAGATCCTTGAAGCCACTGGGGTCATGGGTGGGTGCCCCGCCTTGGTGCTGCTAGTATATCCTCTGTCTGTGCTCATTACACTCCTTGGTAAAGCTTTTTGTATGTCTGCCTCCCAGGACCATAACAGCAGGAGCTAACTCTTCAGTATCTCAGTATCTCAGTGCCTGGGACAGTGTTCAGTACGTGCTCATGAATGAAGGTTGTGAGAAGGTACCTGTTGAAGGTATGGAAAACCTTCATTTAGATACGCTTGTCTTACCCTGAATGAACATTTTCTTCTCATGAGAGCCAAACTGTGCCTCTGTGTGTGTGTGTGTGTATTTATCTATGAAATCTGATCCTTTGCCTGAGAGCCTCCCCATCAATTAATCATGACTGGCCATTTGCACAAAACCTCTTCTCCCAAAGCACTTTGCACAGAAGGGGTGAGCTCTCCCATCTTGCCAGAGCCGTGGGCTCAGTTCCCACCACATGACTGGCCTTGGCAGTAGATTTATACCCAAGCCTCTCACTGGAACCCCATAGCAGTCCTGGGAGGCAAGCCAGAAAGGAACACTGCCCCCCATTTTTTTTATATTATCCAATTAATTTATTGAGTATCACCTACAGAATATATATATATATACCGTTATTTTATGTAAGAAAAAAAATGGATTCTCGGTCTTCACCATAACTGCTCCATGTAGAAATAACAGTAGTCAACATTAAATACAACTCTATTTTCATAACAACTGTGCATCTTTATATCAGACCACTCAGAGGACATGGCCTCCTAATCAACCTAAATTTGCAGTAAAATATGTTTTCAGAAATAATTGATAAGCTAAAATAAGTTAAGGCAAATAGCTATAAAACCTGGACAGAAGCTTCCTTAGTTTCTCATCTTCTAGAAACAGCTTCACAACTCATTTGGAAAATCAGTCTAGAGGTAGGCATAATAAACCACAGTTCCCATCCCTTCTTGAAGCCGATCTTTCTCAAGAATTGATCAAATAGCATCTGTTGATAGAAGACAGCAATAAGGCCTGAACCTGATACTTAGGCTTTAATTCTGGATCAGTTTTCTGGCTTGGGCTGGTTGGGAGTTACTTCCTTCAGAATCTTCATCAGTGAATGTAAGTGAGTATGTGCTAACATTATCTTCTCTTTCAGCTCTGCAACTTTTTCTGGTAGAGACAAGTTGTGAATATCCATCTCAGAGGCATTTACTATGGCTTTTGTTTTTAACAGATAGCACACCATTTTGTCACTGGAAAGGCAAAAGTGACCTCTCAAGGCAGCCAGGGCAGCATGGGTAGAATACAAATGGAAACCAATGGGAATCCCACAGGAAGTACAGAATAAAAGGTTGTAAGTGCTGCCTTTGAGCGAACCATCAATGCCAACTAGGAAGGGAGCTTCCAAAACCACGTTATTTGTGACTCCCGGTCTTTTTCACCACCCGCTCTCGACCATCCCCTGAGAAAGCCCCCCCATTTTTAAGATAAGAAAATTTGTTTGTGGGGTGCTTGGCTGGCTCAGTCAGAAGAGCATGTGACTCTTGATCTTGAGGTCATGAGTTGGAGCCCCACACTGGGTATAGAGATTACTAAATAAATAAACATTAAAAAAAAGAGAGAGAGAAAAGAAACTTGTTCATAGGAGGTGAGGTGATGGTCCAAGGGTGCAAAGTGAGTCAGGTATTTGTTCTTTTCCACTGTATCACGGACTGTTCTGCCTCCGACCTTTGGGGCTGCTATAATGCTCCATGGTGCCAACACAGACCACAAGCTCTGTGGGAAATAGCCTCAGACAGGGAGGATCGAGACGCTACCTGCC